TGTATAACTTGTATTGTTCGGAAGTGGTTTTCCTGAACTGTTGTTGCTGTATACATTTTTGTTTGGTAGATTTTGATCTTTTTTCATGTATTGATAGAATGATTTATTTGGTTCTTTGTATTTTTGAGGTTTATTTTGACTATCTTGCTGTTTTTGTCTACATTCGGAAATACTATGTCCGTATCGGCGGCAATAATTACACCATTTTTTGAAAGATGGTTTGCCTTTAAAGTTCGGGTTCTTTTCGTAAATATTGAGTATTTCAGTGATTTTTTCAACGAGGTCTGTTTCTGATTCCTGTATATTATTAATATTAGTGGGAGTCGTTTCAATTTTGTTAACGTATTGTAATTTCAGATTTTCCGTTTCTTCTAGTTTCATCGTGATTTCTGCTTGTTCTAATTTGTCTACTAGTTTTCGAAAATCTAAATCGGGTTCTCGAATTGAAGAAGGATGGGATGCTCTCTTTTTTATTGCTATTTTCCTTAATTGTGGTGTTAAGGTCATCATTAAGATTTCTGTCATCTTTGTGTTTTTATAGTCATGTGTATTTAGTGAATATGCTTTTCGAACTAGTGTTTCGATTCGTACTGCTATTTGCTTGATGGTTTCGTTTGGTAATCTGCGAATTTCATTACATAAAACTCTTTGTTGTTGTTTGTTTCTTTCGGAGTCAAACATTTTTGAAAATTCCTGTGTAAACCTTTTCCAGTTTGATTTTATTTCTAAAGGTAGTACTGAAAACCATTTTTGGGCTGCGCCATCTAAGGTTGTTTGTATTAACGCTGTGCGTCGATGTATCCAATTTTGATGTAGTGGCGTATTAATTGGTTCAGGTCCAATATTTAAAATCAGGTTTGCTGTTACTGCATTTAAATAATCTTCTACAGAATATTCAGGGTCTGTTCCTGTGAAAACCATTAAAGGTTTGTTTGATGTTATTGATGATCCACCCATAAGGTATGGATTCATTGTCATTTGTAATGATTCTGCTGCATTTGGCATTTGAGAAAAATTTGAAAGTTGGTTTCTTGTTATTTCATGTTGTTGGAGATAATATGGGAGTGGTATTTCATTTTGCATTTGTGATGCTTGATACGAGTGTGCAGTCATTGGATTTTGTTGTTGAATTGGTTGAAAAGATTGTGTATTAATTGGATTTTGTTGTTGAATTGGTTGTTGATGTTGTGCATCTATTGGTTGTGGAGAAAGATTTCTATGATTTGTACGTGTTCTCTGTATTCCTTGTCTACGATATTCTTGAGTATTTTGTGCAAATATATCTGGTTGTAAGAAATCGTCATCTGAGGATAAATAATCCATTTGATAAGATGTTTGTTTTTTATTTTTATTCTGTTGAAAAAATGGGTAATTTTCACTGCGATCCTGTGGAGGATTTGGTTGAAAATTTTTGGAATTATATTGGGCCGTTGGGTTATCCCAGTTTCGAGGTTTTGTATATTGATTAAAATTCCTTTGTGGTTGATAATTTGTTTTTGATGGATGTGTATAATTATAATTATGGTCTGCAAAGTTGTTTCTAGTGAATGTTTTGCGTGTTTTTGATGGTATTGTCATGGGTCTGTATGTTTGGTAATCCATATGTGAGTATTTAGGGGCAACCGAAGGTTTAACGGTTGATTGTAAGGTTACCTGTGTTTGTGAAGGATTTGTATTTCTTGGTGTTGTTAAATTTGGGCGTATTGGTGAAATACTTTGTTGTGTAGTTGTTGTGTGTACAATTTCTTCATTTATGAAGTGTGATGGTGTCTGAATATCTTGTTGAGTAAGATTCCTAGTTCCATTGAGGTTTTCGTTGTGTATGACTGTCGAGTTTAAACTATTATTTTGTGTATCGGGTAAAAATGTATTATAGTTTAATGGTGTTGCATCAATTGTTAATGGTATTACTCTTACATAATCTCTTATGTAAGATATTGTACCTATTGCTTGACTTGAGATTGATTGTGGAAAGCTTATAAATGCGGGATGAGACCATTCGGGGTCCCAAACATAATCTGATTGTTCTGTGATAGCGGTATCATCGTTCGAATTTTGGGGTCTAAATTTTTTTCTTGCTTGTGCAATTAAATCAATATTGTGTGTGAAATAATCTATTATGAACCATGCTAAAATTTTTTGTAAATCGTGTTTGGTATGTTGTGAAACGTCGTCTTTCGTGAAATTTTCTTTAATGATGTTTAAATAACTAGAGAGTAGTGTGATTTCATGTCGTACTTTCAAATGTTTAGATGTTTCTGTCGGTGAGACATTTGTTAGTGGGATTTCGTTTTCTAATATCGAAATATAACTATATATTATTGCGAAAACTTCATTGGTGAATATGGAGTTTGCTCTTTGTGAGTTATGATATTGGATGCTTTTTATATATTCTGAAAAAACTTTTGAAAATTCTAAATCAAGATCGTCTGTTTGAATAGTATATGTTCTATTATTATGGTTTGGGGAAGTGAATTCTATGGAGTAGATTCCATACTGTTGTGTTATGTTGCATATATCTTTTAAGTAGTGATCTATGATTTGTCTTTTGATTTTTACATCGGGGAACTCTGTTTTACATGGACTGATTCCGGGTTCAAATAAATTTACGAGTAAATTTTGACAAAATATGTGTTGTCCTCTATCAGTATCTGCGTCTACTATAAAAGGAAAGATTTCATCATCATCTGGACTTTCTTCACCTGGGGTGTGCGTTGAGCTCATTTTTTCGTTCGATGACTGTTAATATGTAATTATTAATGTGTCGAATTGGTTGATTCCAATTGTATAGATGTACTGGTTTGTGTTTGTACTGCTTTTTTATTCTTCTTTTTCCTCTTTGTGATGAATTTGATGTTGTTTCTGAGTCAGAAAAATATAATTGATCGTGAAGTGGGTAATTTTTATCTATTGATTCTTTTAGTTTGTAAAGTTCGTCTAAACTGTTGGTTTCTGATTCTGAAAATGCGTTTCGGTTTTTTGAAAATCTTTTTCGTGTTATTTGTCTTTGTTTAGTTATTATTTTCCTCTTTAGTGTTTGTCGTTTTGTTCGAATGTATCCAACTGTTTGTGTATGAGGTGTGATTACAAGGTCGTATTTTTTGTTATCTATTTCACAATTGTGTAAAATGATTGTTTGTTTATTTCCTAGGTTTTTAAATTACATAAGGTTTAGAATGACGGATGCAAAAAGTTGTTAAATGATTTCTATTTTCTTAAACTGTTAGTTCTTACGATTTTTTGGTTAGCTTAACCTGGGTCTATTTGTTCAGGGTTGGAGAGAAAAGTATATCGATTCCGAAGAATGATTTTTACTTTCTCGTGACTAGTATAAGCTAAGGTGTTAACTTACTTAATCTTACTTAGGGGTAGTGATTGTGTTCAAGGGTTGGAGAATAGTAAATCGATCCACAAGGTTCAGGTATAATTAGAACGCGAGTAGTTCGTTAGATACTATTTTAAACTTACTAAGTCTAAGATTTATCCTGGGTCTGGTAAGAGGGGGGGTCAAGTGAAGGATGAATAACCGAAGTTCTTCACTGTTTATCCTAATTTGAATGATTAGTTTTGTTTAAAAATTTCTATTAGTCTTGGGTCTTTAGAAAAGGTTGGGTAGTGAATCGACGTTTGAGGTCGTTAGACACTAATTAAGTGGGTGGGGGAGAACAAAGTTGTTCTGTTTGATCCAAGGATAAGCCTTGATGATCAAATTTAAAATTTAATTAAGTAGAAAATGATTTAAGATCCAAGGATAAGCCTTGATGATCTGGTTTTAAAATTAAGTGAATTTAAGTTTTAATAAAGTTTTAAATGTGTGTAAAGGAAAGATTTAGTGTTTTATGATGTTAGTGAGTTGATGATTGCTGTTATGTTTTAGATGATGAAGCTGGAACAACAGGATGATTTATGATTACTAACCATTTATTGTCATGCTACTAATTTTTATTTTTATTTTCCAATAAATATTTTTCAAACATGTTTTGTATATTACTGCAGAGTTTTAGGAAAACGATCTTAGATCTTTTTATCAATCGTTATTGTATAATATTAATTTTGTTTAGCGCCTGAAATGATGTTGAAGATTAACTTCAAGGTTTTATGTTTGCAAATGGAAATCTAAATTCATTGCAAGTAGTATTCGAAATATAAAAGTTTGTTCTGGCTTTTGCCGAACTATCATATAACTATACGGCAAGTTTCTACTTTGTCGTATGTCGTCTTTGGTTCGAGGTCTTCTTCCAATTCCGGGTAGTTCTATTATGGTTCGGAATATTGGCTCTGATCTATTGAGTCGGAGAGACATTTCAATTAAATTATTGTCGTATAACATTTTGTAAATGTTTTTGTCTAATTTCTAATCTATTTTTGGTTAATTCTAATCTAGTAAGGTCTTGTTCGAGACTTATGGTCGCACCAGATGAGTTAGGACCGAAGTGTAACTCATAGAGTAATTTCGGATAGGGTACACCGTCTGCTCGTCACGCTATCTTATTTTCGGCCGGATAGATTCGTGCAACTTCTTAGTCTAATACCGATCCTAATCTTACTCTTATACTATCTAGTCTCAGGTTGTTTAACTAGTCTCTGCTAGGCTCAATAGATCTAGGGTATACTGGTTTATTGCGGCTGCTGAAGTGCTCGGGAGAGTCCAACTAATTTCTAAGTTAAATTCAAATCTCTCTGGTGCTGAAATTACAAGTAACTTCAGCACTTACAAATAAGTGGGTTGTTAGTTAGATGGATCATGATTGGTTAATATTAAATACTTTACATTGGTAAAACATTTAATTTATCCAATCATAAAATATAGTTTAGATCAGGTTCCAAAATTAAGTTTTTTAGTAGGCAGAAGCTATCAGTTTGAGATATTTCTTTACACGTTTGATCATTTAAGAACTTTGTAACGTGATATGTCAACTAAGGTACCCGGATTAGTAGTAACAAATATTCCCCCTGATTGCAAAAAGGCGGGTTAAAGAGGTCCTGCTGATTGTACTGACCGCAGTTGAGATCGTATGACTCATCGCTGGAGTCGCTGCAGTCTGCCTGAGCATCACACACCCAGTCTATGGGGATCCAGTCTCCGGACGAGCGGCAATAGAAACAGTCCACTGAAACAGCAAACCAGTGTCTGATTAGTACAACTTAGTCACAAAACAGCCAACCTTCAAAAAGCAATTCTGTCTTTCTTTTTTTGAGGAGTTAACATCTGCTGATGCACATACATTCACTATCACTTCGATGACAAATTTTGGCAAACTTCATTGTTTTTTCAATTATTCTGGATTCTTTAAAAATTGTATGGCGTTCAAAACAGCCTATTTAAAGATGCGACACCAACTAATGTATACGAAAAAGCTACCACGAAAATCAAAACCATTTTGAGAAGATTGTTTTGCTATGATTGCCTAAGTAAATTAAGCGGACTATTGAAGCAATCAGTTATTTGTATCGATATTTGCGTTTTTGCTGTTCTAATTTTCAAAGAAAGTCACTGATTATTGTTTATCGAGTGTTTTTTTCTCGAGGCAAATTCCGAATTCTTCACTGGCACTTTTTGATGGGAAAGTTTAATACCGTCTGATAAATAGGGATGACTATTCCCAAAGTCACTAAATAGGTTTCATCTGCGGTGCTTTCTTGCAAAGTTATGGGGTTTCTTGCAAAGTGAATTTATAACTTTTTTGACAATATCAATAATACATAGGATAATTAACGCGCGATCTAATTCACGTACAATTAAACCGCTAGCGAATGATCTCTTTGGAAAATTGTTCTTTACGTACATAACCAGACACAACATTATGAGAAAAAAGGGAAAACCTTGTTTCACTTTTTATGAAAATCTGTTGACAATTAGTTTTAAGCAAACGCTAGAATCCAGCCGGAGTATCGAAACCTCAGTCACCACAAAAATACTCAGATATCACTTAAAGTATTTTAATAGTTCTAATCTCAAAATGCAGTCAAAACTCTGAACCTTTTTTCTGACAACAACTAAGCGTGTTTTCAAAGTAAAACCAGGCTGCTAGTATCAGAAAGAATGTTCCGACTGCGTTTCAATTTCAGTAATTTGAGACAAGGTTATTGCTGAAATTATAAAAAAATTTGAATTAAAAACTTTTTTGATTTTTTTTAAATTTCATCCCCCACTTAGCTGAGTAGAGTGATAGAGTGATGTATTTTGCATAAAGCAAAGTATCAAATCGACCAAATAGCATGCCTAAGGTTAATTTGCAACGTTTTCTAATACTGATTAAATCTCCGGCTCCGCGTTAATAGCACAAGATATATCGCGCAGTAAATGTCCCAAATTGGCAACATTGACAGTTTTCAAACCCCTCTTACTTACGAAAAATGTTCACAGGTAATAAATCTTTTTAATTGAGAGCAGGACTACAATAAAACTATTTGGTTGATAAAAAAAAATTCGTCAAAAAGCGCTAGTTAAAAACCGAAATTTGTCTGGAGAAAAAGTTAAAATTTGTCTTTTTCGTTTTGATAGTATAATACGAAACTTCAAAGGTAATCAAAAATGGAAGAAAAAAAGCTAATCCATGATTTTTGCAATTTCAGAGTCCTTGTTGGAATAAAAATTCATTTGACTTCAATTTGAAGACTCCTCTTATTAAAAAATTTATGTCTTCTTCGAAATAGTTAGGATGATCAAACAACTGTCTTTCAGCGTAAAATTTTTTCCATGGAGAACAAGAATAGTTTGTTGTTGTGCAAGCAGAACAGAAGTTTCCTTAAAAATGATTCAACACTAGGTATCTAATAAGAAAAAAAAACATTTTGTTTTGAAATAAAAAAAGAATTGTTGTCCAATTTCCTTTTGTTGAAAGGGCAGTTATGGGCAACTTGGTGAAAATTGAAAGAGAGAATGGCAGCTACAGTCAAGAAAATAGCGATAAAAAGTTTTTTTTAGAAGTCAGCTTTTCATCAAATTATACCTAATTTTTTTCTGAAACTCGGAAATAGTCGAACAACTATTTTCGACAATGAGAAAAAATTTTAAGTTTAGGTTCCGAATCCGAACCCTGACCAAAAAAATGACTTGATTAGGCTGGTACACTTTACTCCTCGCGACCCGAAACCAAAGTTCGCGGACAAAAATGGTTTGTGTTTTTTTCTAATTGATTTCAAAGGGCACTAAAAGTGTTTTCTTCAATTTACTTCATTGTTCTAGTTTTTTTAAGTAATCGGTTGAGTTTCTTAGTCTGTAAAAATGTTCAAGTGTTTCGAGTAGATTCTGCTTCCTGCCGACATTATTCAATGAAGCGGAAGAAAATAACAGTTTTTAGTTGTTTTTTTTTTACATTTTTTTTCAAGAACAGCCGTAAAGTTCTCGGCTATTAACAAAGCAACCCGCAAGAATGTTCAAAGAAAATGGAGAAGCAGAGTTGCAAACTTGAAAAAAAAGATAAATCATTCCCAAAAGCTATCTTTAGAACTATCTAACACCATAACTACCAGTGAAAATCCTAATCAGAGAAAACAGGATTTAAAAAACAATCCATCATTTTTATTTATCACTTGTCAGGATGGCCTCTTCAAGACTTGACTGTGAACTTTAGATCCTCTCTAGCGATAACTGCCATCTGGGCGGTTTTAACTTGCTGATGGCTTTCAGCACGCGAGGAGTTTTCCTTATTTTTTTTCTTCAAATACATCAACTCGATATAACTCGAAATGACCAGAAACTGTTTTGATGGAAAACTTTGTGTTCCGATCACCGATCATTCAAGTCTGCTTTTAAGGGAGGCTTTTCGGATACTAAATTGAGTTACTCTACAAAATTACTAATAAAAAATTTTTTCTTACAACTTTCTGATCTAAACGAGCATTCAACCCCAGAAAAAATGTACACATCTCAAATTGTCACACTGATGTGTATTTTTTCTAGGGGCGCGAAACAAGATTGTTTGAAACAACTTGATTTAAAAAAACAGTACAATCAATTGGACATTATGCCAAACAAAATGCCACTGCTCCTCAGATCACAAAGAACTCTGGAAAGTATTATTTTATTCACAACACTCATTTATAATGCTGAGAAACTGATCGATAAATTGATTAATGCTAAGATGCACACTGTATCAAAACTCTGCTTGATTTTTCTTAAACTTTCTCTCTCTTTGCCGGTGGCGTTGAATTTTCTTTTCCCAATTTCTGACAGGACTCAAAGGTTATAACAAACATTTTCAAGTAACTTAAGACAATGTCAAGGACTGTTCGAAAATTGCTGAGGCGACGTATTTTGAAACCAAGCATGGCATTCGGACGACAGTAAAAACGTCAATACCTTGTTTTTTTTTCTACATTTTTTAATACCCTCCAAATCAGGAAGAAAAAAATACAATTGGGATATATCTGATATCTTTTGGCTGATTTAACGGATTTTCACTGGAAACCATATCAAGCATCGATGGTTTTAATAAAAGTCGTAATAACTTTTTAAGTCAATAAACCGGGATTGACATCACACCACTATTACAATGAAATTTCGAAACCCAGAACTGTAACCTATATAAGAGACACAGACAACTCTGAGGCATCTGTTCAAAGATTCAAACGTAAATAAGTTTCTTCTTTGATAGATGAGTATTAATTTTTTCATAGATGAATAAGCAATCTCATAGCAGAAGATACGCTTGTTAAATTTGCTGATCACTTTGAAATAGTACCCTGTCATATAATCAAACGCTTTATTGAGATATCATATACATTCCACCTCTTTTTTTATATAGTTTCTAAATGAAACCGATGTGAAGAAGGGCTAAGATAGGGATGTTTTGGGAGCGAAGTGTGTGAAGTTCGAAGCTGGGAAGGGACCTTTTTGTGCTAAAATTATCAACTGATACTTTAATCTGTCTTTCAAATACCTGGGTCGAAATTTGGTCTAATTTTAGATATATTTCATGGGATACGCACAAGAACTCCAATTTGTAGGCAAAAGGACTCCTTTTTGATTCAAAATAGACAAAATGAGTCCACTTTGTCAAAAATTTTTGACACCAATTTGTCAGGGCAGAAATTAATTGAGCTAAATTTGTATACTGGCCAAATAAACCCAAAAGCTCGAGTGACTCAAAGTTCTTAAAAACCATTTGCCAGGAAGCATTTTCGATGACAAAACTGTGATAATTTAAGACTTGGGCTCATTCTTCCCGCTAATATAACATAACCGTCTGGACTCGCATTAGTATCAAAAAGGAGCCTGGATGTATTGGACCTACAACCAGAGTTCTGAAACATATCTCTCCTAGTTGCTAGATAGATAACAGAGATGTTTCAAAATGCTGGTAGTAGGTTCTAGTCCAGCCAGGCTCATTTTTGATACAGAGGCAAGTCCAAATGGGTTCTTTTTTATACAGAATGAAGAATGAGCCTTAATCTTAAACAAGTCCCAGTTTCGCCATGAAAGGGATAAATAAACACAATTTCCCAAAAACAGAGTTAAGAATGGGCCTCATTGAACTGAGCCTTAGATCGATGTTTTCCTCGGTATCTAAGGTACCGATAACTTTAAATATAGACTCAATTATTCATTATCTATCAAATGAAAAAAAATGGCCCAAAACTGAACATAGATATTTTTGTGATCATAAAAAGTATCAGTTTTTATAAACAGCATATATACACTCTGGTTGCCCACCATAGATAATGATGAGCAACCATACATATCCATATATTATTATATGTCGCACATATTTTTTTTTCGAAAATTCTTAAAGTAGCGTTTTACAGCTAGGTTTATCATACAAGCAGATCCAAACTAACGAAGGTGTGAATAAAATTTGAAAAAAGCTATTTGTTTCAACAACAACTTCATACAACAACTTCCTAGCAGGTTAATTATTATCCAAAATGCTTCATTGCGTTTGGTAATGCGCTTGTTGGTCCCATTTTTGCCACTAAAGTAACGGAATAGTTGTGCTCGGGGTGATTTTTCTACTGCAGACAAACTTCGGCTTTTAAACTAGCCATTTTTGACAAATTTGTTAGGAACGGAGCTTAAATTTGAAAAGATTTTTTACCTGTAAAAAAAATTTTCGAAAAGTTATGGGGGTTTAAAGATTGCCATTTTGGCCCATTTGGGACAATTAAC